TAAAGGATTCTATGATTCTATGACAATGGTGTCTTTAAAATTCCTTTTTCTCTCAGGTTTTTGGGTTTATCTGTGTTGTAGTCATGGCCTTCACTTCTCAGCAGTTAGGGCACTCACTACCAGGTGGGAGATAAAGTTCTGCCAGATCAGCTTCAAACCTACCTGCCTTCCAGGTGAGAACTGGAACTGTTAGGTAATGTCAGCTAATGTAGCTCAGATACCATTCTGTGTTCACTGATTCCAAAACGTGTTGTAATAGTTTTAAACAGTTTATTTTCAGTTAGCATTATTGCAGCAGTGGTATAGTGCAACAGCTATACAAACTTGCATTAATTCTCCCTTTCTTTTCAGCTCAGTGATTTAAAGAAGCTTTCACACATAGACTTGTGCATGAATCAGTTTACTACCATCCCTTCAGCTCTTCTAAACATGCCAAATCTAGAATGGTTAGATATGGGAGGAAACAAACTCCAGGAACTTCCTGATGCAATTTGCAGGTAAATAAAGCTCAAAAGCTAACATCTTAGTCTCAATTCCATAGCATTGAAATTCTAATTATTAAATCCTACTTCAAAAGCTTATTTTAATGTTAACCTCACTGCAAACTTAAGATTTATCAGCCTTAATGTGATATCATGGATGGGCTGGAATATCTGTTCAATGAACAATAAGTTCATTATCAACTGTCAAGTTGATATAATATTTCCTGCCAATGACATTTTTGACCAGGAGTTAGGTGATAACCTTGGATATTTGTCTTTGTTTTGTTGTATTCTTTATGGAAGTCCTTTATGTGGCTGTAAAAATGAATCAATTACTTTATATTAATGATTGATAAAATTAATTTTTTAAGTCTTGATTGATTGTGCAAATGCCTATTTTACAGAATGGAAAATCTCCACACTTTATGGCTTCAAAGGAATGAGATAAACTCCTTGCCAGAAACCATTGGTAATTTGAAAAATCTTAGTACTCTTGTTCTTAGCAACAACAAACTTAAGAATATTCCAGCTTGTATGAAGGACATGACAAATCTGAGGTAAGAAAAAGCAATAGAAATGTAAGTAAAAATACTAGCAGATAAGTTTTAAAGCCTCTCTCAAGTTGTCTATCATAGAGTAATACTAAAGATGCAGAGAAGAAAAGACTTGCCCACAGCTGGACACAATACCATCAAATCTGCATAATTACACAGCTTCACAAGAATTGAAGATCTGGTTAAGAAAGCTTTTTGTAGCATAAATAATTTAAAGAAGTAAGCTATGATAGTTACAGTCCCAAATGAAAAAGGAGACTGTAATATATTCTCCATTTCCAAAAGGTCCCAGAGCCAATTTCTATCTGGCCTTTTCTATCACTCTCTAAAGCCAAGAGCTAGGAGGCAAAATATGTGACAAGCATAAAAAAGAAAAGGTATGGATGAAACCATCCTGTACTTGATTTGAAAAATAAGAAAGAATGGATGTAAATTTTTAATTGGTAGAATTGGAAAAATTATTTTATGTATTGTGACCGACACTTTCCTGTTGTTCACATTTTCATTTGAATTACTGGATGCTGGCCATTTCACAGAAAGAATGCCAGTCTAAATACATCATGTCTAACCCAGTAAGACAACTTCTGCTTTCAGATGCTTTGGAAGAAGCAGAACCTCTTTAAACAAATATATATGAGCATAGGCACAGGGATGGACCAAGGACAGAGAGAGACAGGGCTGACTACTGTCTTGCAAAGTTGGGAGGCTGCAGGCATTTGCACTCTTGTTCTCATCTGCTGGTGGAAGCTCACTAATGCTAACAATGAGGTGAAAACCTGAAGACAAAATGACAAGGGCTACAATGTTCTCTCCCACTACAATCAGCTATTGTTATGATAAGGTGTCAGCTTAGTTAACTTCATATTAGCAGTATAGCAGTGAGTTTCATATAAGAAAAGTCTTACTTTACATTGCTCAAAATACTGCTGGAGGAATCTTAATTCACTTTCAAAAGTGTTGTTCACGCTGGACAAAAACTATTGAAAGAGTAACCTTTTGTGGTGAACTGTCAGATTTGTCAACTTCAGAGACAACCCACTGGAGTTAGAGGTAACGCTCCCTCCATGTGAGAATACAGAAGAGGAGGAGCAACAGGAAATGTTTGGGATTGAATTCATGCACTTGTATATCCAGGAGTCAGTCAAAAGAACAGGTACGCCTGTTTTATTAACTCTGATCTCCCTTTGAATACAGTGAGGAAGGAAGGATAAAATGGGTAAAAGGAAGCTAGGATACATATACAAATGGAACATAATCTTCTTAATTAATGAGTAATATTTTCCAGGAATTTTCTGTGAAAGATATAAGGGAAAGGTGCCTATATTCCCAACATACAATATTTTTTAGCAATGAAGTATTGACATGTGATAAAAGGATGTTTCTCACAACTTGCTTTCCCAGACAGAAAACCCAAGCCACTAAACAAAACACTCCCACAATTCCATCCCATTTCTAAATCACTATTACAAAAATACGCTGTTAGCAGTCTCAAAGGTAACATCTTAAAGCTTGCCATAAGAGACCAAAATAAGCCCTTTTGAACAGATGTGCAGGTGGCAGCTGTTACTTGCAGAAAGAACTTCATTGCAGATCTAATATGTTCTCTCTGATCTTCACTCTATATATCCTGAAGGCTTAAAAAACAAATGACTGAAATGCTCTTGATTTAGAATGCCAGGCTAACTTTTTTATTATCAATATTTCATGAATGAAGAACCAAAATTAGCAAAAATACATCAAGATGACAGTTATTGGAAACAAGTTTTCTTCCTTAACAGATTCCCCTAGCAGCATGGGCTGACAAAGTACCTAGGTCTACTTGAATAATTTAAGAAAGACAAAATAGGAATCTATCCTGAATTTTGAAGTGAAAATAAAGTATGTTAATTTTTCCTATTTTAACTCATTGTCTTTCAGGAAATGAGGAAAGTTGTACTTCTGGTTCTTCTCCTGTCATAAATGCTAATGAATAAAGAATGTAACTGTGAGTGGAAGAATATATCAAGTATCCTTCTTCATAGCAAAGAGGCATACAACAGGTTTCCAGTATTCTTATTCCAGTATTCCAGTATTTTTCCACTGGTTTGCATATTTTTCATTCCCAGTGAAACTGGGAAATAAGACATTTTCCTGAGTACAGGAAAGACCAGAACATTTTTTTTGTAATCAAGGGATTAGCTTTTTAAAAAATCCAGATAAGTTTTATAGGTTTTTTTCTCCTACCAATACCAAATCTATCTCCTGTCATGTAGCTGGCTCTGGTACCAAAGATGGACTTGGGACAGCTGTCAACAGGACGTTCTCCAAGGACACAGCAGACTCTGTGTAGTACTGTAGTGCAGCCTTGTATCCTCGTTGTTGTAAATACTCAATCCGTCCATGGTCAATCAGCAGTTTACAGAGGCAACCTATCTCCTTGCGTTCTTCAACAGTAAGTATCCTGATCTCATAAAACAGAGGAAAAGAACGAAAAACACGTCAGAAGAATAGTTTTGGTTAAGCTTAGAAAAACTACTGAAATCACTCTAAGCTCATTTCAATTCATCCAGACAATCACGACTATTTAGGTATTTTGAAATGTATGTCCATGAAAATGCTATTTTTAAAGTAGAATATTTCTGTAAAATTAGTAATTAAAGCACTTCTGTAAAATGAATACTTTCCTAGCATCCCTATGCTAGGAAAAAAAAAAAAAAATAATCACATACCCTTGTAAAGTATCAGAACCACTCTCTGTCTTGCTGAATGTTTGCTCATGTTCTTCTGTGGCATTAGTTTGCTCTTCACTATCTTCACTCGCAGAGCCTTTGGTTGTGGTTTCTCGCATGCCACAAGTGGCCCAGCTACTCATTCTCTGAAAATAACAAAACTCTACTGGTCCAAGTCCTACCGATTTAAAGAACTCTCTGCCTACATAATGTTTCCAGTCACACTTGTGATGGCAACACAGTGCAATAACAATTCCAGCTACAGGCTTACAGTCTTCCTTGCTGCTTTCATTATCAGCAGAATTGTTAGAAGCCGCCTCTGCCGTATCAGTCCTAGAGCGTTTTGGTGCGGGCTCTTCATTTTCTCCATCACAGCAAGCTGTGTAACTTTCAACCAAGCATCTTAAAGCAAGATCTGGGAAAAAAACATGTATACCCACCAAAAAAGTAGCAATGAACACCATGCTGTTATTTATACAGGCTGTATCATGGTAGGGAATGTACTTCCCACAAAGAAGAATAAAAGTATACATCACCAACTCAGCCAAAAAGCAATTTTAAGGATAACCAAAAATTACAAACATGCTTTGAAAACATGAAAACCCTAAATTCCAAATGAATATTATGAGATCTCTGGAGCTACTAAGGCCTTACTCTTTTAAGTACATGTTCTACTCAAGTGAATTTTAAATACTTTGGTTAATAAACTGGCATACTGTAGGAGGATCTCCTCCCTGTAAAACATACAAGTATTTGCTCTAAAAGTTTGATCTTTCACAATCTAACATATACATGTACTTCTTAAACGCTTAACTGCATCAACTTTGTAACAGCACCTATATGGGTATCATACCTGAGATGCCTTTCTCTGCTTAGTAGACATATAACATTAGAAAAAGTGCTTTAGTTTAAAATTATCAGGACAAAATCTCACTCTTCACGTTTGTTTGCCTGGGCTATATATTCAGACAGCCAATACAAGTTCAGAAAGAAAAACTGTTTCATAGTAGAGCTGATGGTGGTAAAAAAAAACCCAAAACCAAAATATCCAAACTTTCAACATTTTACAAATACATGACCCATGTCACCACGCTAGGATCTTCTTCTAGAAAAAAAAACAAAAAAAACAAACAAGCAAAAAAAAAACAAAAAAAAACAAAAAAAAACACAAAACAACAAACCCAAGAAAGATTTTACTTCTGTTTAAAATAGCCTTACATCCGTTATCCATTTACTACTACATTGAAGTCAACAGATATTTAAAATATAATTTCTAAATGCAACAAAGAATGGTTAGAAGGCAAGAAAAGCTTAAACAGGACAGTTAGGAGGACGAGCCCATTCAGATTCTAAGATTTAGGAACCTAACTTTCTGCAGTTAGCACATACACAATTCATACCTGTTGCAGCACCGCACAAATGCTTCCCAATTCCTACCACTGGTAGTTTTTTCTTCTCCAAAATAGGTACCCTCTCTGGGGTGTAAAAAAGAAAGAGGAGATAAGCACACAATCCACAGCAACTCCAGAACCTCTATTATTATAGCTGAGGCAATATTTTTTTTCAGATAATGTAATTTCAGCACACTTAAAAAAAAAAAAAAAAAAAAAAAAGGAATGTTTACAACTGGTAAAAAATACAGTGGTCTGTACACACAGTTATAAGCTATTAAAAGGAAAGTTAATTTTTCCACAACAAACTAAGAGAATGGGATGCTGTGGCTGAGAAGCATATTAACCATTTCAGCCTTTCCATACTGCCTGTGAAGTGTAAATATGACATTGACACGTCCTGATGACAGGTATTCCCACAAATCCCGTAGTATTGAGATGCTATGCATACCAATATGCATATCAATTATATGCACGACTTGCTTCATTCTGCACACCTGCTTTGCCAATGACCAGGCCCAACAAAAATGATAGCACCAGCAGGGAGATGAACCAATATACAGACTGTATTGTAGACAGAAATGTTACGATATGAATGACCACTGGGGGTACAAACAGGTCAACAAGCTCATACATGATCGACCTCACCCCCAACGATCCCACAAATGACATGACCCGGCCCACAACAGGTGGCACAAACAGTGAACCATGGGTGCCCACAGTTGGCATGGGAAACAGCCAGACCAGCAGGCTAAGCACATAAGAGAAAGGTGCCCACATGGCAACTCTCACCCAATCCGCCCGTGTTCGCAAAGGCCTAAACAGACTGGCGCCCAGCTCCAGGGAGAGTCAGGAGGTCTTCCCTGAACCAGGAAGCTCTGTGGAGTGCACTCCACAGACAGACACTCCTGACTCCCTGCAAGTGGTCCCAGCTTTTATCCCCAAGCAGACACCTGACCTTTGTCAACTCAATGCGGGACCCCTGGGGCTCATTTCCCTTATGGCTCTCCCTGCAGGGCCGGCCGCACCCTGGGGGGAAGCTATAAGGCAAACTCACCACCTCTTTATGAAGGGCTGTGGCAATCACCCATATGTCAACATTAATTTGGGGCTCGGGGTTCAAACCCCAGCATTTCAACACCTAAACCAAACAATGCAAAGATGTTTAATCCTGCAGGTTCTAAAAAAATCTTCCAACTGTTTTTGCTTTGGTATTTCTCACCTATAACGATGTCCTATAAGCATATAAAAAGCAGAAAGTTTTAAGTCTCCATTTAATAGATATGTGTGAATATATATGTATATACACAGAGCATTACCATGTTCAAAAAGCCAGTGACGATAATCTTCAAAACCAAGCAGATTTAAGCATGCTACATACAAATTGACTTGAACTCCGGTATTCAATGTCTAAAATTAAGCCTCTGTTTCAGAACGACGCAAGCCAAGAAGGAACTTACTTAAACATAGGTGTTGAATATCCACTTGAAGCCTTTCAAACATAGAATCTCTCCTTTTAAGTTTTCCATCCACCTGTATAAGCAGAACAAGATCATTAAGTAGGGCTGGCCAGATAATTATGATTTTGCTCCAGGTATTAACAACAGACTTTTTTCCTGTCAAATCAGCTTCTGTACATTTCCAACATTATACACCAGTTTTGTTTTGTTTTCCTAATAAATTTGCTATTGGCAAAGTATGGAATGTAAGCAATCACACTTCCAAATCTTTGAAAATTTAAAGGCTATATTTTTTTTTAAAAAAATAAGAAGCCAATACTAACAGCTTCAATGACAACAGTTTAAAAATTATACTCTGCTAATGTGACAGTATCCTCTTACCTTGAATCTTGTCGTTGCCCTTTCCACAAGCAAAAACTGAACATTTTCAGCATTCTGTAAAGCAACATCAACCCAACGAGACAGTTTTCCTCGCCCAGCTCCAAACTCAACAAAGCATCTTCCTGGCCCAAGTAAATGTAATTTTTCCATGTTACCTAAAATAGAAGCCTACAAACATCAAAAGATTATTTACAAGCCAAGCAAATATATATACTGTGTATTGTAATGCCTGATAAAAAATGGTTACTTCACTAACTGCAGAAAACCTTTTAAAGTCTTCCCTTCCATGAGAGATTAGGGAAAAGATCTTGTGCATACATTGGAAAGGGATTATAAATTCTGTCTAGTCAGCATCACTCTGCCCTTCTTCCACTGCTCACAGAACTTCACCCAGAAGTTTTTGGCATGGATTTCTGGGATAAATATATATTATAATAGTATTCTCTGCTGATTCTTGAAGTAGCTATCCAAAATACAGGCACCGTACTGGATTTTCTGTGAAGCATCAGTGCCTGCAGAGCCCTCTCCCTGTGCTGCAGTTGTGTGTTTTGGGCAAGCAGAGCATGGGAAGAAAGCACAAGAAACAGATTTTTCTCACTTTTACATTTTTCTTTCCCAAATCTTCTGTTTTGCTACAGTATGCAATCCATCTCCCTTAAATTTCTTGCTGTCAATTATATCCTTCCTGCTGTTCAATATATACTGAAAAGTCAGAAAGTAAACTCAGATTCTCCAAATCTTTTAATGCATCTGTTACACAAAGCAGAAATCGAGGACCAGCTCTTAGAGAAAAAGTAAAAAAATTCCTTTCACTTCATAGCAAATGCAACATTTTATCTTTTATAGCTCAGATTCATTATGAGTTAATATACAATGAGAACATGTAAGTAAAAATTCAGAACATCACTGCACAACTTGTAATTTATTTCAGTATCTGAAATAATTTTTGTTACTAATACTTAACAAAGCAGCCATTCAAAGGTTATACATGTATGCTATTATTTGAAGAGCATAGTTACAGAGCTTATCAGAC